TTAACATACTGGCTTTATCTTCCTTCAAGCTTAAAAACACGAGTACTCAGTAACTCATGATAGATTAAAAAGTGTCAATGCACAGCCTAATCCAGAAAGCCTTTATGGACTTTCTACTCATACCTTTGGCCTTAGAAAGCTATCAATGTTGTAAGTAATTTCCCCTTTTCTTACATAATATGCCCACAAAGATTTTAACTCGTACCTTAGTGAAGTCCCAAGGCCTTTACTCTCCTGTTTTGTCTAAGAAACAACTTGACCTAGCACCTAGGTAATAAATGCCGACAAGGTAGGTTCAGTGAAACACATGCCACCAGAAGTCTGACCTGCAAAAAAGATGTTACAGTCATTAACAGCTGAACCAGAGGGGTGGTGGCTACCACATCCCAGGAGGTCCTGCAGCACCCACTTACACTACAGCCTTCCAAGTGGAGTCCTCTGGCAACAGGGTTGCTCAGCTCCCAAACTCCACTAGAAGCAATCCAAAGACCTACTTACTTACTGCGAGAGAAATTTAATTGCACTACGGAGTAGCAGAGCATCATGAATGATTTGAACACTACCGCACATTCCCAACTGAGGCACCTAAACCTTTACTGTGGTATAAATTCCTCTTCAAAATGCACTGAACAGCAGTTCCGCTGCTGAGCTGTTAACTATTTCATAGGTTGCAATCTGCTTTTCCAGGACAATACTGCAGTGCCAGAACATTTTCATTTGTAATTTAGCAGAAATCCTTGCCTTTGACAGATATGAAAACGACTGCTGCATGTTTACTCCTGCCAGATGTCTTTGGAGACGATTCCAGTCTGTTTGCTGCAGTGAATGAGGAGGTAGGAGACGGAGCACAGACAGTCTTGGTCTCTCTTCCTCCTATGAGCTGCCCGAGCACATCACTTGGCTTTTTGGTGGCTCCACTCAGTTCCTGGGAAAGGATGACACTAGCCTACCTTTTGGGGTAGAAGGCAAATATCCACTGAAACACTAGCTAAATTCAAAGTGGTGTTATTACGCTTACTTACTCCTCTGACCTGTTCACCAAAGCGATGCTGTGACACCCTTTGACATATCCTTTTTTTTAATTTAGGTGAAGGTGGTGACACCAGTGTTGGAAGTAAAAAACCCCTTCAATGTGAATTCATGCGAGTTTGCGCTGTACGTAGAAAGAGAAGAGATAGCCCAGCTCGATGACTGCACCATGGCCCTGGCGGCACTGGTGGCTGCGTTTCATGTGTTTGATATCCCATGCCCAAAGAGAATCCACAGGACGCTCAACTTCCTGGAGTCCCTGGTCTTCGAGGTGAGGAGCCCAGCATCCCTGCCCGCCCAGGTACCCCAGTATCCCAGCATGTGACGGTGTACACGGCACTCCTCTCGGGAGCACTGATGTCTTGTCAAAATAAACCCCTTTGTTGTGAAGATAAATCAATGCCATTCTTTCTGCTGAAAGTGTACGTGTATTTATAACTCCATTATGTTTAATAATGTCCTTTTCTTTTAATTGTACTGGCTACTTTTTTAAAAATTTTAAACCTAAGCAATTTCATTATTTTAAATGGAAATTCTAGAGCAGTCTAGAGGCATTAGAGATAATAAATTTTTTCTACATTAATGCATGTGTCATGTATTATTTTTCCATATGGAGCATTTAAAAGATTCAGATAGTCTTTTGACTGTCAGAATTTTAAAAACACACTTATGAGTTAATGTGAGCACTTCACTGCTTCAGATGCTAATACATTTAGTGTTTTGAAGTAGCACAAGTTAAAGATTTACTTGTTACCATCATTTCGATGTATTATGATCACTGAAAGCCTACTGCAATAATTTTTGTGTTTTAAAATGGTGGCCTGATTTATAATTTGCAGGATGATGAGTTTTCACTATTTTCTCCATGCATGAAACATTCTTTCTTTTTCTTTTTCTTTTTTTTTTTTTTAAACATTAATCCTGAATTTGCTAAATAGGGATTCTGAGATGAGCTCTCAAAGTAGCAAGAATGACTTGTCTGGGACGCTGCCATGTGCGTTTGTAACCACAGCTTTGGCGACAGGGAGAGAACTCATTTTCTTTCTGAATTTGTTCCCCAGAACAAATCAGCCTTCTCCACATGGTGACGCTCCTATCCACCCACACAGAGCGGAGGCCCTCTCCTCTCTTCTTCCACAGCCTCCCTCCCCACTTCTCCCCAACACGCTCCTCTTAAATCCTGCACCTCTGGAAATCCCAGGGATTACTGCCTGACAGGGCACGACTTCAGGCAAACACCTAGTACCGGACAGTAGCAGCAGCCAGCAAACACGCCCCACGACACTGGTTAGAAATTAAAATGGCTTTTTATGAAAATACTGCATTCCTGAAGAGATCCATCTCCCAACAGTTCTAAAAATGTCCATGTAGGCAAAGCAGCCTTTGTGGTCACCACGATTCTTTAAACACTCAAACACACAGCCTGGAAGATGACAGAAGTTTTGTTAAAGCCTGGCTGTGCAGGGGCGGTGACTCCAATGCCAAGATTACAGTGGGAGACCCTGCAGTATGAGGGGAGATCGCTGCATTTAATGGCCAGACTCTCTCGTTAAAGTCACAGGATTTTTCATGTCGGTCCCATGGAAACCAGGGGACAACCTTTACCTGTGTGATGGCTGGGCTACTGCCAACACAACATAGAAAACAGTACCAACTGCCGTTTTCAAGATTCAGTGCTTTGTAAGTAGGTATATAAAAATTCAGGGAGCTGCTAACATCCCCAAGTAATCTCTGTTGAGCAGCAAATCTCTTCATTGATTCTCACTGCAGGCTACAGAGCTGGCACACGAGAGAGAGACAGAGGGTGAGGGAAAATAAACTACATGGACAGGAGGAAAGAAAACAGAAGAATTTGACATTTTACTGACCTGCATGGGCAACTTCAGCTGGTGCCAGTGACAAAATCCAGGTCCATAAATGGGATTCTGATTGTGACAGCAAGCAGCCTGTGAACCTTAGGAGTAAGTGGTTAGGGAGAGGGCAGACAGCAGGAGCCAAGTTAGTTTTTTTAAACTGATGGCCACATTGAGCTACGGTGAGGAATTACCCCACACCACCCTTGGGAACAGCCGGGTTCATTTGAGAATCCTGGGCACACACAAATGTAACAGACGGCTCCAGTTCAGGTTTTATTTGTATTGTAGTACAATAAGAGTGCAATTTTAATGTACAAATATTGAACAAAATGTAAAAATATTATTTATGCAATGCTATGGAAGGAAATTAACAGAGCAATGCAACTTACTTCATACTGACCCTGTTTCACCTCGTATTATGGCAGGTACCAGTCACCTACATGATCTGGAAGGGGCACAGAGAGTTCCCAAAATCTTAAGGAACTCCAGCCAAAGAACAGCCTAGCAAAATCTGTGGGAAGATGTAAAATTCTCCCAGCTCTGTGCAACGGAAATGCTTGGTTGGTTTGTTCTCAGCTCTAAAGGCTGAGCAACTGCCCACTGCAGCGCTAAGAAGAGGGCTGCCAAAAATCTTGATCCAACTCTTCCCTCTCTTCTTGCAAAAGTAACATTCTGGAACAGTCCTCAGTATACAGGCAGCTAGGCTTTCTCCCGTTTAAAGTGCATCTGGTTTACATCTTACGTATATATACCAAGTGCAGTGACTTTCCCTGACAAATCGTTATAATAATCCTCCAAGAAAGAAGGTTGTCTCCGCTAAGTACCTGCTGGTGGCACCTGCAGCCTGCTAATGACCCAGTGAAATGCATGCATTTTACACCTAGGATGTGCCGATGCACCATATCCGTTTAAGTGTCCTTTTCCTCCGTGCTTTGTCTTTCCCCCTATGCCCTATTCATTTATAAATCAGACTTTCCAACTAGGAAGCGGTGGGTGAAATAATTCTCCCACCACTGGGAAAACAAACCTATGTTGAATACGAAGCCAGAGTAGCAGTCCTAGCTTTAGCACAACGTTTCTCTCCACTGTTGTGGTAACTATACTGGAGACTGGCATGTGCAGACATGAACAAATACGTTTTCTTTTTTGCTAATATCCTTACCTGATAATACACGTATTTTCCTTCATGTGCTGAAGGACTGTAGCAGGCTCCCACGTAAAAGGCTGGGACTCTATTGTGCAGCATAAATGAAAAGTCTTCTATGAAGTCAAACTTTATTTTTCAGTTGCAGCCTTCTCTATACTTATCTTTTGGTAAAGTACATTAAAGATGCTGGTGGAAAAACTCACGTAACATTTTTGTAATCGTGCAAAAGTAAAAACATTCAGTTATCAAAAAAGCATTATAATTTCAACCCCAACAAGGTTTGTTTTGTTACAAGCAAACAGACAGTTTTATAATCTGTAAAGTTATATGCTGTAGCATAAAGTGTCACGTATGTAACATTAAGTGTTTCATTTTTAAACTATGGCACAAATACATATTAGCCATAACAGTCTCATCTGGCTACCTGTAGCCTAATTTTTGGCTAATCAGTTTTTCTTTTGATAGTATGAAGTAAAAGCTTCTGAAAGGTAAAATGGGTACATGAAGTAGAATTCAAGAATTCTTAAAAAATATTAACGTTCCCTTATATAATACAGCATAAATAATTAATGAAGGTTTTCTTGAAGTCCAGAGAAAGTTAGGGATCCCAACCATCCGTGGAGAATTAGCGCCATTAGTTTGGTAAATAAGACTAGCTGACTCGGTTGTCACACAGTACCTTCTCGAAAGCTTGAACACTTCCCAGAAGGATTCAGATGCTCCAGGAGAATATAAATAGTCCACCAGGGCTGAACCTAAGTTTCTTCCTTTCTGAGAGTCCTTACTCAACAGTTCCAGCGAGTCTTTGTGCTTTGAATAAAACATGAGCTCCAGTGGAGAAAGCTGGCTCGTACACATTTTCCATTATCTTCAAAGTTCATTGTGTGAGTTTTTCTCTGCAGCTTTGAACATCAGAATGGAATTAAAGATTTTTAGGGCTGGTCCCAGTTTAATGCTCATTATTTTTACTATTTAAAAAATGCTTCTCCATCAATTTGCTTTAAAAGAAAAAACACACAAAGCTATTAATAGGTCTGACAGTGCAGCAGTATAGATGTTTCAGAAAACATGAGAAGAAAATTCCCAGCGATTTGAGACAGTGTAAAGGAATGGCTAAATACAAACACTTTCAAATGTTTTCAGGATAGCTTTGATTTCAACCTTTTAAAACAGATCAGCTAGTCCCCAGGAAGAGGATGATGATCTTCTTTCTGCTTGAAAACAACTGTCTGGCTAATTTTTAGCTAACCAGTTCTTATTTTCATACTGACAGTATAAAGTAAAAGCTACTGAAGAATAAAATGTGTAAGTGAAATAGCGTTCAACTGTACTGCAGCACAATAATGCTTTTTTAACACCTTAGCTACTCCTTTTATGCAACTCTCCATAAGAAAGCTTCTGGATTTCACCCCCAACTACAGAACTGGAACCCCCTTCAGGCCACCCCTTTCTGTTCATTAAATAGCAAATTAAAACAAATTTGGTCCCAGATGTAAACAGGGGCCAGGCTACATAAAACTGCCTCTTTGACACAAACACCACTTTTCAAAACACTGAGTGTTTTTTCTGCCAGCTTTGTAGCGTTGCTATTTTAATAAATGTTACAAGTGAATGTAAGCAAATCACTCTGTCAGCGGGAGTGCTAAATCCAAACACGAGGAGCCACAAGGCCCTCACTTCCAAGGGCTTCAACGGGGTCAACATTTCTTGTGTAAACTTCAGGTCGCTTAGGTATCTACGGTTAAGTTTTCAGTGTAACATAAGCAGGATAGCTAGGCCTAAAAGCCAGCTGTGATTAAATCAGGAGGACTGCTTAAGCTTAAAGATCCTAATTTGAGCTAAAACCAGTGCAATTAAGTTTCCGTAGGACTAGAAGAGAAGCTTTCTGCATCAGACATGCTGCGAAGGAAGCCTGCAAGGCACGCCCCAGCGCTGTAAGCCGAGGAACACTGCAGCGAGAGAGCATCGCGCAGTTACCACAGTCACTTTTCTGCTCGTTTTGTGCACAAAGCCAGACTGGGTGGGCTCAGAACCAGAAGTGGGCGAGCGTGGGGGTGCCCCGATTATTGTAGCGTCTTTATATAAGCAGGAGGAGGGTTCGTTTCCACAGCAGAAGTTTGGTTGGCCTCACAGGGAGAGGTTTGATTTACTACTCACGGACAAAGCCTGAAAGGCTGAATCCTAAACAGGGGAAGTATTTTCTTACACCTCTTGAGAATGAAAGCATTTAGGATTCATCCATCTCTCTGGCACTTCCCACCTGCTGACTTAATTAGCAATATGCCAGCTTTTATTGATATTAAATTCATTGGTGAGACAACCTACGTGACACAGGGGATGACCTAGGCCTGCATACCTGCCTCAAATGTAAAATGCCTAACATCTAAGCTAGTGCAACTGTAATAGTCATTACAATCTACAGCATGGCCCAAAAACTTTTGTCGCAGGAGATTAGCAGGGCCATCTGTAGATATTTTGCTCAGGAGATGCCTTCTCAAGTCTAAGTACCACAGTTATTCTTCACTTAAAAGGCTGGCTGACTTGGGATACTACAGTATCAGACTCTGCCCATTCAGGTGGTTTGGCTGGGATAAACACCTGAACTATTCACTCTGGCAATTTATGATCAAACAGCCTTCTTGAAACTAAGCATTAACAGGAGTAACAAACCTCTGAGTGGAAAAGAAAAAGCCAACCTAGCTTATAAAGGCCTACTGTACCTAAAAGCCCTATCACTTCCTGATGACAACTTTGGCACAAAAATCTTCTCAGATACCAGAAATGCATGCCTGGAGTACACGCTCCTTTGAACCTCATCAGAAGCCTTCATGTCCTCTCACCTCCCGCTCACTCAAATCACATTTGTAAGCTGTCTATATCAGGAGGAAGAGCATCAAGAGCTAAGTATGATCAGACAAGATGCCAAGAGTTTCAAGAGGTGGCTATCTTGAACCACTGCTCTGCTTTATTTTACTTATCAACATCCTGCAGAACTAAAATAACTTACTTATAAATTTCCTCAAACCAGATTAAGAGAGAACCGTAGTAAATCACAAAGTTCCTCCCCTTCTACCACTACTTCAAAGTAATTTCAGTTGCCGCAACAAATCTAGAGAAGCACGAGAGAGCTGGCTGACACTTAGCTAGTTTTATCTTCGTTACTTCCTTCCCACTCCATGACCTGCAAACCAACCTAATCTTCCATACATTTGCATCTGACTTGAAGCATACACTTCATCCTACTACTTTGTATGTATTTTTAATGATGACATAAAATTAGTCTTTCCACCAAGCTTTGTACTCTGTGTCTTTTTGAAATAAAATTCACCCACCTCATCTTTAAACACCTTGCCATGTTCTTCACATCCTGGTAAACTCCGTATAAATTCAGAGACCTGCCACCAAAGTATACAACAAGAGATTCAGTAAGACCAGTGTTTTCTCAAAATAGTCTTAAAGGTTGACAATCATTAAAGTTAAGGTTTTCAGCTATTGTTTTTACAGCCTCATATTAGGTGTTCCACCTTCTTCTGTAAGTCATGCAGCTGGGTGTTTAAGGACAGGATTCACAAAATCTGCAAACTAAAAGAACATGTGCCACTCTTGTCCACAGGACATCTACGAGTGGGATATGGCTACTCCCTCAAAACTACTCAGATTATCCTATCCATGCAGATCCAGAACCATGAACCTTCTCTTGGTAGTCACTTCTTGCAAACCAAAGTGGTTGCTGCCTTCCTCTTCTTTATTCTTTACAGCACAGAGATTAGCAAATCCTTTTTCAAAGTTCATGCTTCTTTCTTCTCCGATTAGAGGAGACACGACTGTCCCAGCCACAGAAAACTGCCTTAGTCATAGGTACTTCTGAAAGTAAAGCAGGGACTAGACTCTGTCTGTTCAGGTATTACTACATACTTGAACAGTGATGGGGCTCCAATCCTCAAATCAGGCATCATGGCTGGACCACATCCATACTGTTCCCTTCTGCACTATATGCTCACCTGCCAAAACAGCATGCCACATCCAAACTGTGCACCAGGAATAGCTCCTTGGTCCATGCTGACCCCTAAGCCATTCCTCCAGAATGTCTGTGTGGGTGCTAGATGTTATTAGTGTAGAGCTTGAGCACCTGATCTACTGGGCCATACGTTTAGCAATTTTCTTTCCCTTTCTAACACCAGTGAATACATATAAACACACATACATAATTATCTAGATCTATACCTATCTATACACATATGAATTAATACATGAGTTCTGGCTGACTCTAATCCTGAGTACTAATGCATTATTGTTAATCTATGGGGCTAATTTAAACTCTGAATCGACCAAGACTTCAAGGGCAGCGGCAGCGAGACAGAAGATACAAGGGAAACCTACCTCATCTGTGCTCCATTTAGAAACTTTACTGGCTGGGATCCCAGCTACACTTGGAAGGAGCTTGCTCTGCTGTTCCCAGCGCAAGGGTAGGCCAGGGATTTGCAACTTGGAAGACACAATAACTGGTTGAGAAAGAAGCCTCTGCGTGTTGGGTTCTTCAACATCTTCAACAACAGGAAGCAACGAACAAGCATTAAATCCCTCAGTCAGTGATGAGATCAGCCACAGTAAAAGCACATTCACTTCTATTGATATATATGGGCCTCCCTGTGCAAGCTGTACAGTTTTCCTTACACCAGAATTAGAGGAGTACCATGACTGTTCTTCCATTAGTATGACTGTGATTATACTGGCTCTATATAAATGTAACCATTCTTACACGGAAAAAGTCTCTTCCAACACAACACAATTCTATGCCAACAAAACTGTTGGCATACCACACCACAGGTCAAATAATTTTAAATATTTTGATACAATAAATCCCACCCACATTTAATAGTTGTACAGTAGTACAAGAACTAACTTAATTCCAGGGTTGAGCTGTTATAACTTCACCAAAAGCAGCACTACACTGCTTCAAAATTCCAAGTGAATCAGTTGTACAGTTCCAGCCCACACAACATTTATGCCTCATCCACAACAAAATGTTTTTCAGTTCTTCTGAGGAAAAAACACAAATGTCTGCAAATTCCCTGCTCCCACTTTAACTGAATGTTTTATTCAGAAAATAACATTTAACTCCTCTGTGCTGCTATGGGGTTTTTTTAATAAGGTCATTTCCTTTTTTATCTCACTTATCCATAATGGAAGGAAAAAGCTCCCATCCCACTGGCCTCAAAGGTAATGTACCGGTGGGAGGGTGGCTTCAGCCACATGCTGCTGTTGCTGCTGCTGTCTGGAGAGCAGCAGCAGTTGCAGATGTGTGT